CGGACTCATCTCAAAATCTACCGCTGCAAAGTTATAACGCGGGCTTCAAGTGGATCTGGCAGCCCAAGAAACGCTCGTGCATTGCATATTTAGCCTGAGCACATTTTTAGAGCCATTAGCGTACAGAACAGATCTCGACAATTGCGAATATCGCTTGTAAAATATAAATTTATTTTTGACTACAAGTCGTCCTTGGCGTCAGCTTCGTCGTTGTTTAAGCTCGAGTGTCACTTTCTCGCATTCGATTGGTTCCGAAAGTCGTCTGGAATCGGTGTTTTGTTCAGGCCTATTGTTGAGATTCCGAGTATAGTTCACGACTAAATCACGAATTCATTGCAGAATTACGAAAATGTTTTGCTATATGAATTTTACAGGTCTGCATTGTGTCTGCTAATTTGCATATTAGCAGACACGCTAAGTTGCACATAAGCAGACACAAAAATTCCTCTGGTAACCAAGGTATCTTTTCTATAGATCAAATAGAGATATTGGAGCTTTTTAACTCGAGGGTTTTTTCTTTGATCTCTTCACAGCTACGTAACACATCTGTTATGATGTGTCCAGGCGGTTGATCGTAGGGAACTGTCATAAAATCACCATACAATGACGTTAACATTTTCTTCCATTTTCGTGGAGCAGGCAAAATAAAACCGTCAAAATTAACTTCCGTCAAAGGAAAGATTTCGCTTTTCTTTCTTACAATCGGCCCGTAAATGATACGTCTATACCATTTGGAGTCACTGTACGACTCGATGAAATTTCCGTCGGTGTCGCTTTCGACTACAAACATATCCAACTGCAAGCCGTGCGCCTGTTTACAGCTCATACAGGTCTGATAGCAACTCTTCTTGTCTCGCAATTTTCCAAGCATTCCGCTATGAAATAGGACTTTGTAATAAGGGTCCGTTTCTTCCGTTTGCAAGAAAATGTCGTCGGGAAGTTCACTCGCACCATATTTGATAAACTTGTCGAAGTCTGCTTTAGGAATGGCAATGTCTACATCGGTGTCAAACGGATTATGTCCGTTGTGCCTCACTGCTCCGAGCAGGGTTCCTCTGTATAACCAATATCTAATACCGTGCTTTTTAGCAATGAGATCAAACACTCTGATAAGCCTCGTCAGTACTAGCTGGCATCGGCGAAGCAAGGTTGGTCCTTTCAGACGAATATCGGGACAGTTAAACTCGCCATTTTCCTCGCGTTCGCATTGAGCTATTGTTGTATACGGAATCGGATGAAAGTCCTTCTCTTGTACGGAAACTTTGGGAGATGCCATCAACTGTGTTTTCATCGTTAAAGCCAAGACAACCAGCACAAAAATTGCCAATAAAAAGATAGCGTGTACTGATCGAAGACCCGTCCATGGCCATCGCCAATTGCAAACGTTGTTCATGGCAGCGAAACGTTTCGACACGCCACAGGCGATCCAGACGTTCAATACGATTAATACGTGACATTATGCTGTTGGCGATTGCGTTACAATTTTAGCCGTTTATAAGACAATGT